CAGGCCATGCCGGGTGGTGATGGGTAGTGACAGTTTAAACTGTTACAAACCACAGTGTGGTGCTGGAGTGAAGTGGCACATGCTGCTCCGGGCGGGGGGCAGGGGGAGAGAGAAAGAGAGAGGCAGGTGAAACAGAGCCTGCAGCCTTGGCTTGTTCTCTCACCCTCTAATGAAAAGGACAGCCTCTCCCCGGGGCCTGCTTGAGTTTCTTGCCTCGGGACGGATGCGAGATATCTGTCCATCTGTTACTCCTCAACACACCAACACGCACACACATACACACTATCTTGCTCTCTCTCCTTCGCTCCCCGTCTCTGTCACACAAACTTGCACTTTTAGACAGCCTCACACAATCCGTTTTGACCTTCAAGCAAACAGTGAAAAACTGATTTGTCAAGTCAGTTGGAGAGAAATAAAGGATCATTCCAGTTTTTCATAGTTTTGGCCATCATTTCTATCAGCTACAATAACACTGTACTCACCAAAGTATTTGCAACAAAGTCAGACGGGGCAAGAAAAAAGATGTCAGGTAATCAGATGGTTCCTAAACAAGCCAAAATATTAAAACAACTTTATTTAGAGTAGTGAGTGCACCTGAAATGTTTATAATAATCTCTCATTGCACAAGAATTCTGCACCACTGAGAGTTACTAGTCAATGCTGAACCAGGAAGTCAGTCTGTTAAATGTGAAGGATGTTTACAACCAACAGTTTTGGTGATAATTTTACTGTTCGCCTTTGTTTTCTCTTCCGAAAAGGTTTGCTTAAAGCCATCATTTTACTGTATGAACTTGCAGGGGAGTTCATTGGACACTATGCTGTTCATGCAGTTTTTCTTTGTCCATGTGTCCATCTTACTGTGTGTGTGTGCGCGCTTCTGTGCACGTCATGAAGCATCCGCTGTGTTCATGTGTCTGTGTTTGTGTGTGTCTGATTGGCAGGAGCACGGCAGAAAGACTAGAGCCCCAGAGCTGCTGCAGGCCTCTGGGGTTTCTGTAGCGATGTCAGAGTGACAGCTGATCTGTGGGATTCAGGAAGGGGATGTGATCGATCACACGCTGTGAGGGTGGGGGCATGCAGGGAAGGGTTAGAGAGAGGAAGGGGAAAAGGAGCTTGTCCCTGCCAATGAAAATTAGAAAGATGTTGGATGAGATTACAATGAACAAATGACTGTCACCCCCTGTTCATCACCTCTAATTTTACAGTCTTTCCGTCTCCCTTAGGACATGATTATTCACAGTTAGAGGTGTTAAAATAATAATAATGACATGATAATATTAATACTAATATTAATAATCTTCCTGTTGTTTTAGATTATGTTGACAGCAGTATCCAGTATATGGCTCTCTTCATTTCAATCACAGTCTGCAGTATCATTCTGGGTCTCATCCTCGTCTTCTGCTACTTCAGGTAAGAATCTTGAACACATTCCATGCAGGGATCAACAAATTCACTTCCTGACGTGCAGTTAATAAACATCGTGTCACCTTTCTGTGGCAGATATAAGCGCCAAGAGTCGCGGCCACGTTACAGTATTGATCTGGAGCAGGAGGAGACCTACATACCCCCAGGGGAGTCCCTGAAGGACCTAATAGAGCATTCCCGCAGCATCGGGTCAGGCTCTGGGTCAGGACTCCCTCTACTGGTAAGAAAAAATCAGTGCACATCTGCCTCAGCTCTCATTGAACAGTAATACATTGTTTTATTCTTTCACTTAGGGCTGGGTGATGTGGATGGAACCAGTTTTATGCTATCATTATGAATATTTTTTATTTGATTTGACACATTTTACAGTACAAATATATGTTGTCTGCCAAATATATACAAAACTACCACAAAAATGGTAGTGCAATAAACTCTTTGCATTACGTTAGAGACATCATAACTATTCACACATGTAAACCTTCAGTAACTAATTGTACTTTTTAATCACAATTTGTCTCGAATCATTTTGTAAGAATGTTGTAAAGCAATAACCAAATATAATGTCATATAAATCCAACATGATTCCCCTGAATGTCCTTACACAATAATGCTAATTTATCACCCAATCGAGACAAAAGGTCCACATAACATAAAATATGGAAATGGCATAACAGTATTTTTTTAAACCTGTTTCCAGGTGCAGCGCACAATAGCCAAGCAGATTCAGATGGTTAAGCAGATTGGAAAAGGGCGATACGGAGAGGTCTGGATGGGCAAGTGGAGAGGAGAGAGAGTGGCTGTTAAAGTCTTCTTCACCACAGAGGAAGAGAGCTGGTTCAGAGAGACTGAAATATATCAGACCTTCCTGATGAGACATGACAATATACTGGGTAAGGTCATATAAAGGGAGCCTTGAAAAGGGTTTATGTGTTGGTTTGTTTGAAAAGTGACCCAAATCGAGTGTCTGTGTTATTTTCCATGTCCATGCATGTTTCTCATTCCACTCATCCCTTCTTTCCAACCTTCAGGATTCATAGCAGCAGATATTAAAGGAACTGGCTCATGGACTCAGCTCTACCTAATCACAGACTACCATGAGAATGGATCGTTATACGACTACCTCAAGTCCAACACCTTAGACGTCAAGGCTCTGCTGAAACTGGCCTACTCCTCCATATCAGGCCTCTGTCACCTGCACACTGAGATCTATGGCACACAAGGCAAACCAGCCATCGCACACAGAGACCTGAAGAGCAAAAACATCTTGGTAAAAAAGAACGGATCTTGCTGTATAGCAGACCTTGGACTTGCTGTCAAGTTTAACAGGTACAACATACATTTTGGACTTCCGAACACTCATTTTAATAAAGTTTAGGTGCATCTTGGAGATTTCAGTTCAATTCAGTTTAATTTTATTAGTTATCTCAAGACATTTTCTAAAAAGAGCAGGTCTAGACTATACTTCTTTATTTTCCTAAAATATCTTAATATAACATTTCTGTTTCTCCTCCCTGTGTTAGTGACACCAATGAGGTGGATATCCCTCCTAACCTACGAGTTGGTACAAAGCGCTACATGCCACCTGAAGTGTTGGATGAGACCTTGAACAGGAGCTACTTCCAGTCTTTTATAATGGCTGACATGTATAGTTTTGGCCTCATTGTTTGGGAGATGGCAAGACGTTGCATCTCTGGAGGTCAGGAAAAATCTGTTTTTATTTCAACGCAATCTTTACGTGTCTAGATGTTTTCTTAATGATTTTGATGATTCCCACATATATCTTGTTTCTATGTTTCCTGAAGGCATTGTGGAGGAGTATCAGCTGCCCTATCATGACCTCGTGCCCACTGATCCTTCTTATGAGGACATGAGAGAAGTTGTCTGCATTAAGAAACAAAGACCCTCATTTGCTAATCGCTGGAGCAGTGATGAGGTATTCTAAATTATTTTCACTACCACTTTCTACCAATGCATAGTTTTAAAGACTTGTTGCATTGACTTTATTGATGGTTAATAAAAAAAAAAATCTGTTTGGTTGGTATATAATTTCCTACTACAGTTGTGAGAAAGTCATGAGTGTTCCCATCAGGTCTGCAGTCATAAATGGTAATGAGTGGTTAATCACTTCTCTCTGATTATTTAAAGACCAGTAATGCTTGAGGATACATACCTGCCAAAGGGATTTTTCACAACTTTCAAACCCCAGAGTTGGAGAGTTGTTTTTATAAATGGCTTATAATCAATAGTTAGTTAATAAATCCATTTATCCCAACTTGCAAACCCTTGCAAACCTGGCAAAATGTATTGCTGTATTCTTATGTATATGTACATGTGTGTCTTCAGTGTCTGCGGCAGATGGGAAAACTGATGTCAGAGTGCTGGGCTCACAACCCGGCCTCCCGCCTCACAGCCCTGAGGGTGAAGAAGACCCTGGCGAAGATGTTAGAGTCCCAAGACATCAAACTGTGACAGAGAGTCAAGAGAGATGCTCTCATCAGCAGAGACTTGTCACTGCCACTGGCACAGCGCCACTTACACTGGCCAATAGAAGAAAGGGAAAAAAAAAGAGACTGTGAATGATAGGACAAAGGAAAAGGACAGGGAGGGTGATTGATAGAGATAATGGTCGACTGGGAGCCAGACAAATGAGAGGCAAAAAGATTTATTATGTCAGGGGAGATCTGCCCTCCCATTTTCTGAGCCAGATCTGCCTCAGACCAAGTGTTCAGGTTGTGCTTTCTGTGAAAGCTGAGCGGTTATAAGGTCCAGACTGTCCAGGTGGGCAGGCAGACAGGGACCCTTGCAGGAGAGGAGGACTAAAATCCCTCTGATCAGTTCGAAACAGAGGACGCTCCTGCTCTGCCATTTTAAAGCCATATAGCAGTATTCTATGTACAGTCTTTTGTACTGTCGCAGCTGCCTTCGTGATTCTTTTATTTTTATTCAGTCACCATCATCTCCATCCATAGTGACTGTCATCCATCCAAAGAAATGTCTAATTTGCGCTCAGTGACCTCATTGTCAATGACTATTATTATTATTATTATTATTATTACAGAAAAACGTTGAGTGAAACTAAATTAACTAATGAATGTCCAGCAGAAACAGATACCAGATTTTTCTATATAGTATTCCTATGTACATTTTATTTCAATATTAAAAGATGTCCTCTGGGTAAAACATGTCATTGATGAATTTGTGAATTGTGGTTGTCCTTCAGGCCTCCAGAGATGAGAGTGAGCTCTCCTTCTTCTGTCTCTTCTTTCTACTCACAATTCATTTGTACATAGCTGAACTGAAATCTATTGATAATTATTGCCTTGCTGGATGTTAACATGTGTTTTTGATGATTTATCTGTGTACAGAATATGTCCCATCCACTCTACCACTATGGCATGTGCCTTATATTTAATCTGTACATATGTGATTAATAAGTGTATGAGTGGATCTGGATAACATTCCCCAATTAAAACTGTGTCTTGAAGGCTTGTCTATTTATGTTGAACACTGCTGTAAGATTAATGTTATTACTGGTAATCTCACAAGTCAAACAAATGAGATCCTCATGCTCCAGGTTCAATGTTGCATATAAATATAATTTATTATTAGTCTTAAAAATTCTTTCTTACACTTTGTACAATAACTTGACAGATGAAATGCAAGCAGTTGCTAGGAACATCATGAGTGCCAGAAACAGACAGGCTACATTCTCACTATACACAATAATAATCATGAAGCTGAAGAACAACTAGGGAATGCAAAGGCTAGCCCACTGAGAATGTAAAGATTGTTTCAGAAAGATGCAAAGTTTGCATAGACGGCTTTACGAAAAACTGGGACAACTGCCATAAAAATAAAAATAAAACGAGAACCAACCAAGAACACTTGAACATGTGCACAAGTGCTGCTGCATCAAAGGAATGTTGCATTTACAACTATCACTAATTTTTATGCACAGTCAGTGTCATCGTAACATTGATGGCTTCTGTCGTTGATGTACAAACACAGAAGTCTGAGTTAAAATCTCAGTTCTCCTCCAAAATCACAGATGAATGCCATTCACCTTTTGAACCCGAGAAATGACATTTGATATTTAGATGATCACCTTCTGTATTGAATTTAACCTCATACACTGTATGTCAATTATTTGGTAAAAAGCAGTTTTATTCAGTTGCATTGGTCCTATAAAAATATACTTATTTCATTCCCTTTTCTACAGTATCTACCTCTCCTCTCTGCCTGGTCTCTTTAATGTAGATGATATCATCTTGAACAACATACAAATCATCAGCATCAGTCATGAACTTTATTCAGTTTGAGAAAATGGTCTTGATAACCCCCTATTTATGGGTAATAGACTGGTGAAATTAGCCAATTGACCTGGTAAAAGACATGCAAAAAAAGAAAGTAAAGAAAAATCATAACCAATGCAACTTATCAAAATATTTTTAAGACTTAAAAAACCTGTAAAACAAGGGCACATAATTGAAAACTAATAATTATACATAACATGAATAAAAAGTATTAATAGTAGTTATGACAACAACACTAAAACTTTAAAATGATTACATCATTGATTCCCTTCTGTACATGTAAATGTGGCTGACAGGATAAGTCATTACTGCAAGTGACCACCAGGAGGTGCTATGATACAGTCAAACATAATGAAAGAAGAAACAAGAAATGTGAGGACACTGCAAAGTATTCCATTACAGGCAGCATAAAATACAAAAAAAGATATGTATAAATAGGCATATTATTAAATACTATGTTATCACAGAACACATACTCGTCCATGGCGTTGCTATGGAGACTGATTTTGGAGAGTGAGAGATGCTTCCTCTGATCCAAGGCTTGCTCTTTTGATCCTTTGACCTCTGATAGTGGCTCACAACTCACACTGCTGTCTATGGCAAGGGCATCCACATATCCGCGCAGTCCATCCAAATAATCGGACAGCTGTTTCCAAGGAAACTAGAGCCAAAAATATCAAGTCGTTGTACCAGAGAGAGAGAGCGAGAGCGAGAGAGAGAGAGAGAGGAACAGGGAGAAATGACTGGCAGAGATTCTTGTTTACCCTCCAAGTTTTTACACCCTTTGTTGCCAATGTTTAACTGGGTCATGGCTGAGTAGACCAAGCTGTTTTTTATCGTCTTTACTTCTGAGTGTTCACACACGCAGTTATCTGTGGGTGTGTATTTGCATTTGTCATTGTTCCACCAAATGACTCTCCTTCTTTTGGGCGTCCCACTCTCTTATTTTCTTTTTTTTATGTCTTCTTCCTCCCTGGAATGTTGCACTCCCTGGTTTGCAGATGTCAGTGTTCAGTCATTGCAGGAACAAGGCTGTCATGGCGTCCCATCTCCTCCAGCACCTGGGCCAGGCGACTGAGGTTGCCATCAGGAAAATGCTGGGCCTCCCACAAGTCCAGGATCACTCCCGTAGGACTTGATTTGGTGGCAAAATAGTTAAGATACCTGAATGAATGATTGCAACAAAACAGAGAATGATGGGTTAGAAAAAAGGGAGTAAATGGTTAACAGAGATGAATGAGTTTACTTAGATTAGAAGACAGGACTCAACTGGTGTGCCGACATGGTTCGAAAAATGATTCACTATTTGTACAGGTTATGCAAACATTTCAGTCTCTTTTTATGTATATGCTTAACGTAACATAGACATGACAGGAAGCTGTGTGTGTTTATGGACACTGATTTATATTCCTATTTGTATTTGCCATGCAAGAATCAATGATCTTTGACCTTTCAGGACCCAATTGGTTGAAAACTGACTTTCATCTGCATTTCATGATTCCTGCTGCAAGAAGATACTATTTTTTGTGAGCTGCACCTTAAGTAAAAAAAAAACAAAAAACATTTTAAATTTTAAAAATATATATAAGATATCTTTTTGGTCACCCAGTGTTTGATATTCTAAATAAACACAAATAAAAAGCACAAAAAGATTAAAAACTAATGGGCTACATGTTTTGTTCTGTATGTATCATCACTGTGAGCTGTGAACGAGAGGTTGGTTCAAGTCTCTCTCCTTCACTCTCCTTCCTTTACGCCACACTCTGTCAGTGGTCTCGTCAATCTGCAGCTGCTGCCTGTGATAAGGCCGCCCCGCTGAGCTGGGACCTTACAAATGGACACACACTGCACCTCCATCATACACACACACAAGGCTATCAAAGACACATGGGTGACGTTTTGAAAAGAGAAGCATCATTCTGTCTTCGTCTCTCTCTCTTCGTCTCTCTCTCTTCATCTCTCCCTCTCTGTCTGTCTCAGTTCAGCCCGGCTCAGTTAATCTCACTTCAACAGATGCTTATCGAAATGAGACACACAGAACAAAATCAAAAATCAAATTAAAAAAGGATTGTTATCTGTATAACATCCCATGTGAGCTTGTTGCCTATTTCTAATGAATTAAGTAAATAAAGTATGTGGCAGCTAAAATTGCACATCAACATTTTTTTTTAAGAATAGGCAGATTGTGTATTTTGTGCACATCAATCTTATTCCTTCATTTCATCTCTTTCATTTTTCCTTTTCAGAAAAGAGCAAAAGCCTGTTGACAGCCTGTTCCTGCAGTCAGACTGTAACCACTCAGGGCCAAATGTGAGTCACTGTCTCACTCCTTTTCTCTCTCTCAGACAGACCTGTTCCTCCACCCACCTGTCAAGGTTAAGTTTGTGTGCCAACATCCTCCAGTCATTTCCCCTGGTCTGCGGCGCGTCCAGACTGCCACACAACTTCTGTCGGATGGAGACAGGGATACGGAAGGCATTGGGCCCCACCAGTGTGGTGATGTTACTGGCGGGATCCAGCAGAGACGTGTCAATACTCTGGGAATCCTTGAGAGAGAGAGAGAAAAAGAGAGGGAGAGAGAGAAGACAGAGAGGTTGAAAAAGAGACACAGACTGTAGCAGGCTGCAAACATAATGTAGCTCAAATGGATTTGTAGGACAGTAAATATCTGTTTTTGGGTTGTGTAAAAAGTGGAAATAATTCATTTTATTGCCATCCGTTTATTGATGCAAGCTGAGTGATTTTCAAATATATTGCATCTGGAGGATTAAGTACTGGAGAGGTCTGGCAACAGAAACCAGAGCAAGACCCAGAGACAAATGAGCCAAGGCCAGGCAGGGATACAGCTCTGCACTGCATGTACTGTAATTCGTCTCATTACTGAGCACAAAGCCTGTGTGCTCCTCCATCCCTCAAGCTCTATTCTCCTGGCCAGATGGCCTTTGTGAAACAAGTACAGCACGACTAAAGGGTGATTATTCCCCCTCTGTTCTGCATTGGCCTGTCATAGGCAGGACTATATGAGGCTGCAGGGTCGAGATTCCGTGTCGTCCACCAAGCCAGTCTTTGTGAACATTGCAAAAAGAGGGAAGAGGAAATGGGAGAAAGAGTAAACTTATAGAAGTTCCCTCACAACTGAGAGATAAGGAGCGTAAGGTGGCGGAGGAAATGCATTATCTCTGAAAGCAAAAAGTCAGGTGACAAGATCGATTGATTCCTTAATGACTCTTTTAAATAGTTATAAATTAAATTGAAGAGTTAGTACAAGTATCGACCCTACCTCTGACAGTGTAGTGTCCAGCTGAAAAATCTGTCCTTCTCCCTCCACTTGGCGCACACATATCTTACAGGCCAGGTCCACAGTGCTGGCAGAGAACCGCTCCAGGGTAAAGCAACAGTGGAGGTTCCTCTGTGAACCGCACCACACTTGCTGAAAGGAAAGCTCCTGCAGAGAGGGGAAAAGGGTATTTACTCAGCTGTCAGACGAAAAATGCTTTAGTTCTCTTACTGAAAAGGGTGTATGAGCAGTTTACCTGGTACTTGGCTAGAAGTTTGCTCTTCCACAATGTGTGGGGGACATCATGGATGGAAAGTCTCAGGTTGTGGGTGCTGTCTTTAAAGTTGAGAGTCTTTGGTTCGTCCAACAACTTCCCACCCATTTGCTTCTCCATCTGTAGAACTTCCTGAACACACAAACACACACTTTTAGTTTAGTATATGAAAACAAATGTGTCTGCTTTTGTGCTGCTGTAAACTGTTATATCCTGTTTGCTTCAGCAGTTTCTTGCAAAAGCTCTAATGTACACTTACAAATGAAATGTTTTTTATAGTATATTCATCACATTCCCTAGAGGCATTATGAACCTGAATCTGGACTTGCCATCTGAAACCAACTTCAATGTCCTTGCAGCAGGATCACTATCACTTCTCATTACCCATTCCCAAACTTAATAACCGTGTTTAATATCCCTGCTCAGTATAATAATCCTTCCTTATCTTTCGTCCATGTAGGTAGACGGAGGTATTAAACAGAAGGAGACAACAGTAGACTCGGGGGATAAATGTGGCTTATTTTGTGAGTTGGGGCAGCAGCTACATCTTTCTTGGAGCAGAGATGCTATTGTGACACACCAACACAAAGATTTTTCATTCCGCCTCCCACATCTCATCTGCTGGCTATGCCTACACACACGCACATTAACAATTGAGTCAAAATGACACACTCACAAATATCATTAATGCCTACAAACATTTAATTTATGCTACATAATGTTTTGGCAAGCACAGAGACAAAATAATGGATACACATGGAACTGGCTGTGAATTTACCTTGAGTGCGTCCTGTGTGTCATCCAGGCAGTAGACTCTGATGTGATACTCCATGGCAGGGCAGGTGACGGGGCCAAAAATGGCTAGTTTGAGGCGCTTGGTGGTTGCAGCGCTGAGAGATTGTCCCACAAGGCAGTAGGTGCCCAGTGTCTCTGTCAGGATGTGGCAGGCCTCGTCATCCATTTGGATATAACACGGCGTGGTGAAATTTTCTTCTCCTACCACCACCACATCCTACAGCGTGGACAGGAAGAAAGAAAAAGTGACACAAGTGTGGGAGATAATAGGCTAAGAAAGAACTGAAATAGTCACAAGTGGTAGTGTTTACAAAATACCATCATCAAGAGGAGACATGATTAATAGCATTTCTAATACTGTCCCTCTGGCTCTGTCCCACCTACTGTAAGTTTCCTTATATGTTTTCATTTGTTGGAAAGTAAGCCATCTATTGATCTATTAATAATAGAGAAGAGAAGAGTTCACTTTTGCTTTCTATGTCTCCAAGACATATTAAACTTGTGTTATGCATAGAATACCAATACGCATTGCCATTAGATCAAAAGCATAAACAGTCACAGTTTGTTCACTTCAGCTTCATTTGTCACATTTGTAATTATTAAATTGTTCAGGGGAACTTGGCATGGTGTTCAGTAAGAATGTCGATGAATGCATTAACTTCCACAACAGTCTCACTTGAATCTTTCACCAACATTTCTGTTGTCCGATGGGAAACTGATCACTAATTTGGAGGCAGAGATGCGAAGAACTGGCTTGTCTAGTTTCATGCTTAATTTATTTACTCCTTTTTTATAGAACATTTCAGTTCTGTTTAATTGAAACTGAACTGAATTTAAATGGCATTTTAAGGGGGAAAGTACAATCAAGGGTCATGTCCTTTTCACATAAGCCATGCCATTTAGATATTACACTCAGCAAGTGTGTATTACTACTGTCTGACACCCTGCCATTATGTATGCGAGGTAATGGACGAGTGAGTATCCAGACCATCTGCAGCTGACCCCTGTAATAGCACTAATGCCAGGACATATTTCTCTTTCATTAAGACTGTCTGGTCTGAAGACGCTTATGTCTCTCTCCCTCTTTTACCCTTTCTCTTGATCTCTCTTGATCTTGCTTTCTCTCTCTCTCTCTCTGTCTTTTTCTCTCTAATCCAAACACTCCTGTGAGCAGCACATTGGCATTAATTCAGCCTATTATGAGAGACAGAAGAGGAATTACAGTATTTTATTGTAAGCTAGGCCGTTTAACAGCAGTATTATGGCTGATCATTAGACTCTTTAACCGCTCCTGGGGGATGGCACTAGGGCTCCTTATTGGGGGATAATTAGAACACAGTGGAAAAGTAGGCTTTTGCTTCATACACATGTGTGCAGGCACAAATAATCAAATATGCAAACACACACACACATTCAGTAATTTTTGACATCATCAGCCAAGATTTTTTTAGAAGCGTGGGAAGATAAATCTTTGTAGGAGAGTTACTGAAGCAGAAAGCCGCACATGTTCCTCATTATATGACCTGCTGTCTTCATCCTCATCACAACACCATGTTCCCTCAGTGACACTGTGTGTGTGTGTGTGTGTGTGTGTGTGTGTGTGTGTGTGTTTGTGTGCATGTGTGTGCGTGTGTGTGCTTTATTGGGGGATGGGTGCAGCATCGTCCGTGGAGCTGATTATTCTCACTGGGTGGTGATGACTATATATGTATGTATATATATATATAAAATATAATTACTCCTTTGGGAGGAGCTCATCTCTGCGGTGATGAATACACTTTTTGACAGGGCATGTCATATAAAGCAATATTTTACACATGCAGCTTGGAGGCTGGCTTTAGTAGGAAGCTGCTGTCACCTTGGATATTACTATCTACATTTCTGACAGGTCAGAGATCTGATCAATAGGAATTGTGTAATTGCCACAAGGGATGGGGGGATCACGTCCCTTCCAATATATGAAAGATGGCAATTTGTCCCCGCCAAAATCTTTGTAATGACCAGACACATCAGATCCTCCAAAATCTGAAAGAAAACCCTATGTTCTCTTCAATATTCAGTGTTAAACCAATTCCAAAACCCACAGGATTAATATCTTCTATCTGCTTTGTATTGGTGTACATGTCTTTTTGTATCCCCTGTGAACCATGCAGAGATCTCCAATACACAAGTTTATCACTCACAAGTCTACACAAGTAAAACACAACCTGCTTGAATCGTCTGTCACTGATGCTGTTAGATATAAACCAGTGTGTTATGTAACAGGCTGGAGGATATATATATATATATGAATATGTGCCACCCCCACCCCCACTCTCTTGGTCCCCCCAACGTCTGACTGAAGATTTCTCCTTTAATCAATAGTTATACTCAGTTTACACTGAGCTTTATTGGCTGCCCCCAAGTAATTCATCACTGTCAGAAAGGCATGTGGGGCCAGTGTGGTAGTTTCTTCCTGCTCCATAAGTCATATCATCACATCAGCAGTGGAGATGGAGAGATGGAGAAGACTTCCTGAAAATGATGTTATTTAAGCCACTACTCAATGATGAGCTGACAGGGGGACATATATTGGATAAAGACTGTCGTTAAGTAGTTGGATTTTCAACATGAGACTGGGCTGCACAGTGTGCCTGCATGGAATCCAAAAAGTGCTTTAACATTTTTTTTTTTACAAATATAGACTTAAATCCAAATTCTGAAGAGAAAGAAACATTATCATGTTCTGTATTGCCTTTCTGCTGCTTGTTATTCTGCTTGCCGTGCTGGGCCCTGCTGCTACACAAATGCCTATGGTTCATTTTTATATTTTAAGCACCTTCCCCTTTAAAAAGGTCTCTGTGCTCCTGCCAGTAAGAGTTCATTAAAACACATCGAAGGAAAACTTACCCAGAAATGCTCTCTTGACAGGTGAGAAAAGATGCTAATAGCTGTCTACAACAAGGTCTGTAATTTTATCATCTGAGGTGTAGGATTGATAGAGATTTTTGGGGGAGAGAAATGACAACCGGACCACTTCTAACAAGCTTAAAGCAGTTTTTTTGAAGTATAGTTTCTCTACAAATGATCTCTTTGCAGTAATTGGACTGTTTCTTGTGTGTGTGTGTGTGTGTGTGTGTGTGTGTGTGTGTGTGTGTGTGTGTGTGTGTGTGTGCGTGTGTGCGTGTGTGTACGTGTGACAGAGAGAAGGTGAGAAAGAGAAGGAAAGAGGGAGGAAGGCAGAAAACATTCACACTGATGCCCTTAGCAACCCAACTTATCATCAACACTGTTAATGATGGAGCTTGCAGGCACAGGGCTTCCACAAACACCAACACAGCACACACACACACACACACACACACACACACACACACACACACACACACACACACACACACACACACACACACACACACACACACACACACACACACACACACACACACACACACACACACACACAAACAAACAAAAATAGGCATTCATAAAGGTACAAGAAAACAGTCTGGGGAAACAACAGTCCCAGCCCGTTCCCTGCTATCAGAGGTTTACTATTTCAGCACCTGGTTGCAACAGGGCTTTGCTCTGAGTGCTGAGCTACACGAACAAAGCAGAGGAAGTTGATCCCCTTCACCTCCTCCCTTCTATCTGTTGTCCCATGCCATTTAATCATTTTGTTTTCCACAATACCTTTCCCCTTTGATCTTTGCTGAGTAAAATTTTCCACCAACAAAATGCAGTGTGGATTATTATTATTATGGAAAGCCACATCAGTGAATCTTATTTTAAAAGGCGAATATATCATTTCAATAAAACACATGGCTGTGAAAAGTACATTTTCAAACTTGACCACAGTGACAGACATTAGAGTCATTTATCGTGCATCCCACATCTCACCTCCCACTGGTTCTGCTGTGAATGGCTCTTGAGCTGGATTAGCCAATCCTGTTGGCCGTCGCACACGGCACAGTGGTGCATGGTGATGATGACGGGTCGAGTCAACAAGGCCCCGGGGGGTCCACAGCTCACCACAGGGCCCAGCACTGTTTGACCATCTTCAACAGAGGGCCTGGAGGTGCACAGAGAATAACACACAAACAAACACACACACACATGCTGTTTAGTGGCAATGTGTCGGTAGTTTCGGTGTATGGGTGACATGGAGGAGCTGACAGGGGTAAACACAGCTCTGGGGCACTGATGTGGTAGGCGGCACTGCGTACCTCATGTTGTCCTTCCTTTGAACCGTCACATACATCTCATACACTCTGCCCTGAGGAATGGCCCCTGCTGGAATAAGCAGACTCACCCCTGAGGAACACAAAAACCGACAGACAGACGCATAAACAAACAGGCATATGTGAGAGTTGTGAGTTGTCAGGTAGAACAGAGGACTCTTAACAACTATTTATGCCGTCAATGCCTTTCATCAGTGTGTTAAATAGGTTTCTTTTGTTCAGTGTAAAGTCAGTGAGAGAACAGACAGGGACATCAGACCAGCATAAGAACTCTGAATATTTGTATTACATACGTATATCTTTTATTCTCAGCTACAAACCCACTCTGATATACAGTATAAATGAAATAAAGGCTGTTAATGCTCTACTGTTTACATCTAAAAGTAAAATATTAACTATTTTACTTATAATGGATATTTCTTAATGCATTACTGCACCAGTAAAGAGGAGTTAAAGCCCGAGTGAAACGTAATAATTATTTTTCTTAGAGTAATAATCACAATTCCTCTCAGCCCCACATATAAAAACTATGGCACTTTACTGCCTTCTCCTATGGCATCAGGAAATGATGTGACATTTCATTTCTAAAAATCAATGATCTCTCTACTCTTCATAACATTCTCATATTGCTGCAGCCAGCATGATTTACATTTTTCCATCTCAGATTGATTTGATATGATGTCCTGTCCAATGTGTTTTTTAGGACCCTACCCCCCACATTCCCTCATGCACACACACACACACACACACACACACACACACACACACACGCAAACACACACTCTCTCTCTCTGGAGGGGGGATCTCAGATAGCTCATTGATTTCCCATGTCCTTGTACTGAACTTTTCAAAAGGTGACAGACAGCTTCTCTTGCTAGCTAGCAAGGCAATCACAACTCTACCACAGGGACGTCTCGCACACTGCCACTCTCCCTCACAGCAAAGCTTCAAAGAGATGGGAAATGCATTTTAGGATGCAAAATACCAAACAGCCACACTGACAGTGCCACAAAATATTTCATTACCCAGACACACGAACAGATCAAATATCAAATGTGCTCTTTCCTCTCCTTCTGCCTATGTAACATGATGAGGTGGCTGAACACAACCAGCAGCTGAGAAAATTTTTACAGGAATCAAAAGAAAAAAAAGAAAAACTTAAGAAACTTGAGAAGTCGGTGTATCCTTTAATGTCTCTGCTAGTTTGTCTAAGCCTGTCAACATGCATCTGTGGCATGTTACAAACAGCCCACATGTGTTTGAAGTGAGGACAGCACGGCTAATGTAAGCTGCCTGAAACAGTACACCTCTACGTTAGTACTTCTAGTGCACCTTAGGTATCCATCAACCCTTGTCATACTGTATGCAGTCAATATACTGAGGGGTTACACATGGTTTAGTATTTTATTTCAAAGTCCCATCTGTGTGTGTAAAGGTTATCCTAGTAAATATGGTAACCTATAACAGAGGCAGCTCACATCACAATGTTTCAATTTCAAAGATTTACGATCTTAAAGTGAGTGAGAAACAAATACATCAATACTCTTAGTTTTGGCACATTTCACCATGTGTATGGATGAATGTGACACCATTAGTAATTGGAGCGGCTATTGTGCATTTTTGTTTCAGATTTGAAAACTAAAAAAGGGTTTTCACACGCTCTTTTTAACTAAGCTCTAATATGCCCATATCGCCATTATATACTGACTGAGCAACTCTATAAAGACACTTTCTCAACTGCATCACAGATTAGACAAAAATAAATCTGACACTAAAGACACATAAATCCCTTTATGTTCTGTGTTAAGGTGGATTTTGACTTGAAAGATCCCATGAAATGGTACTGTTTTACTTCCTTGATGAGATGTATTTCCTAATGAGACAGGTCTTAAAGTGACAGTTTGATCATTTGGGAAATACAATTATTTGCTTTCTTGCAGAGATTTGATGAGAAGACCCACTCTTATATCTGTCGCAAAATATGAAGCTACAGCCAGCAGCTGGCTAGCTTGGCATAAAGAGTGAAAAGAGGTGGAAACAGCTAGCCTGGCTTTATCTGAGGGTAACAAAATCCACCTACCTGCACCTCTAAAGCTCCTTAATCAATATGTCATAGCTTGTGTATTTAATCTGTATAAAAAAACAAATTAAAAAAAAAAATTGCACTTTTATGGGGGATTGTGTGCTGGACAATTTCTTGGCCGGGTGCAGTGATTTCCTTGTCTGGGAACTAGACTAATCTGCCAAACTCATGATGTTTCATTTGCTCTGGCAGAAAATATCATTTGCATTTGCGAATTAGTCTGGCAATGCCAGGCTAGTGATTTCCTGGAGTCTTGTTGTCGCCATGAGGTTGCCAGGCAACCAGACACTGTGCCCAGCAAGGAAATAGTCTGGAGTTTCAAGTACATGTTTCATGGGATCTTTAAGGGTAACATTTTGAGCTGTAAACATCACCACCAGCCTATGAATGAAGGGTGGCCCCTTCGGAGTACATGGGAAGAACTGATGGACGATCTCTTCACCATGTCAGGCTACACAGTGGAGAGGAGTTTATCTTTTCACTACAGACATGTGCACACACACACACACACACACACACACACACACACACACACACACACACCATCTGAAAAGAGAGCCACTGAGTAAATGAAAACATGCTAATGTGACGGCTAATGCGTTTTAAGATGAACTACAAGAGAATTTACTGGGATTAGCAGAGCTCTCGCTCATGAATCACAACAAATTTATTCCTTTGTTATATATGTTTATTTGAAATCTTTGATTTAGCCTTATTAAAAATATCAATTTGCTCTGAATCATAGATAAAAACACACACATGTAAAAACCCATCCTCTCTTTGTTTGGTATAGTACCTGAGTTGGGCACAATGAGATGTCCCCCCTGGGAGCTGAAGGAGCCCAGTGCAGTGCAGGATGGATCCCTGGTGCGGAGCAACGTTTGGGTCTGTGTGCGACGGCCTATCGTGCTGTCACTGTTGTCCAAGAGGCAGTGGGGTAGCTTAGGTGACAGTTTAGAGGAAAATTCCCCTCCTAGGTCATCCTGTGGAGTCACTAAACCTGAGGAGTTGTACACCTTAATCTTTAGGTTGGGAAGAGGGTCCAGCAGAGGAGAATTGGTCATGGGGATTTTGTCAGCCACATCGTGGAGGGCGTAGACGGGGCCGCGGTACATGGCAGCCGCTGAAGTCAGGTCAGGGGGCGCTGTTAGGAGATCAGCTAGAAAAGAAAAGAAAATTACATCAGTTATGGCAGAGTCTTAAGAGAGAATTATGGTCACCATACTTTACTCTTTCCAACTGTGAATGTGGAGAACTGGTAACTTGAGACCAAAATAACCATGAGGAAAGTGTTGGCAGCAATCAGCAAGACTGCTGCCTGGCTTTACTCGTTTGTTTTTCACTCATTAGGGAAGTCCACTTGACCACCAAGAAACATTACTCAGTCAGAGAAGTTAAAGGAGCAGCTGTGATTCATGAGTAACAGATGGCATCACTAACACTCAGTTTACCCGGTAGGTACAAGGATGAATGTTCAATAGCTGGGCTGAGTGGGTGGAGCGATGGCAGTGGGAGCTCTCTGTCCTCCAGCTCCTCCACTGCCTCCACCCCCTCTCTGTTTTTCAACAACACAAAGTTTATAAATGATACAGATGTCACAAAAGTTATTCAAATAAGACAAGATAGATGGCTGGGAAAATGGTTTATGTAGTACAGTAGTAAGTCCCATTAGGAGACAATTCTTTTGCATATAGGCCTCAGGTTTATATCTCTTTCCATCATGCATTCATTCCTCTCACACATGCTCACACATAATTTCCTCCCTGTCAATATTAATGATATCAACTGTTGTCATCAGCTGGACACATCTGTCCAATAGCACAGCAACACATCTGTATTGTTAGCCTATCATATTGCTGCGGTTATTTTTAAATAAGATTTTCTCTCTATGCCTTCAGTTCAATTATGCCACTGTCATCAGCGAGTCATCAGACACCATCACCAGTGTCCATGGGGGGATTTATATGGCTGCTGCTCAGGGCAGACAGCTCTTGATCACAAAAATCTCCCTATATACAGTCCAAGTACCAAAGACTTTCTGTAAAGACTTAATCATTGCATATTGTTATAATAAACAATTATCTTTACTTCAATACCATGTCTCTCCTGATCGTGATTACTAGTAGTAGCAGTGCTTGTGTTAAAAATGCTATGTCAATGGTATCATCAATCACTCTACTGTATAGTTGTGGTAATAAGTTGCAATACTGTTATCTATCAAATAAGATTAAGTTCTGACTTTCAATGTTTTGATTCAACTAAACTAGCTGAATTATATCCTTTTACACTATGTTTTGTATTTTGTGCTGGATTGGTAGATATCTTTGATGTCTCCTATCGTCAAAGACAACAAGAGAAAGAGCACATTTATTAAAGATTTTGGTTCTAAAAACAAGCTAGGTATTTGTTTCCAAAGCAATTATTTGTGGCATCTATTCTTCTGAAATGAACACTATTCTAAATCTGATTTTCTTGTCTGTGCTATTTTCATTTTTTTTTTTTTTCACAATTACTATGATCTGTCTGTTTCCCTGCTGTCTTTTTGTCCAGCTTACTGCCACCTGTCCACATCCCTGTGGTCTTACATTTCCTCCATCCTGCATCACCAACCCAAATCTTATTACAGTTTAATATGCAACATACAGACTGGCCTTATTATGCTTTAATGAAGGGGCATAGCTTGGCCTTCCATTAAAGCGACCAGCATTTTAATAGTTTCATCACCTTGCCTGCACAAACATGCAGTCTGCTGTCTGTATTTTATATAGTATCACCAAAAAATCTAATTATACCGAGCCTTAGTGCCACCTGATGTTGACAAGCTCACTCACAGGTGATAGGGATTCATCTATGCGGTTGAAAATCTAGATATAAAATATGCACACAGACACACACTCATACATGCAGGAAAACACACACACAAACAAAAATATACATGTATCCTATACCCTACCTTTGCGGGCAGTCTTGATGCTGACTGGCTGGAAGCCTCCGTTGAGGGCGGAGGAATCAATGATGTCAGAGTCGAAGTTGCGGTGGTTCTTCCTGTAGATGAGGAGCGCCACAACGACAGAGATAACCAGGCAAACTGCTATGACAATACCCACATACAGAGCTACATCATCTGTACTGGGGGCCACTGGAAGAGGGGGAGAGGGGTTGGGGAGAAGAGAAAGAGAGAAAACAGTCTTTTAAGATCTCATAAGTTCACATCAATACTGTTAAGCTTTCTTTTTCAATAAGACGGAGCTGTGATGAAGCCATTATCAGCAGACTAATATCCTGGTTTAAGATTGAGCCGGATATTAATAACCATCTACTGGGAAATAAATGCATCCAGTATATCTCCTGCATTTTTTTATTGTGGTTAATGCTGGCCCGTTGTGGCAAATAGTCTGGGTGTTGATGAAATAATATAGGACACTCCTAATTGTCAAAAGTGAGAAGGGATAATGATGCATGTACTGTGGAGTACTGAGAGTGATGCACAACGTTGGGTCTTTTACAAAGTCATACATGAATATTTCTTGTATGAAGCCATATTGTGTGAGAGGGGATTGTATGCATGCATCATGAAGATATTAACAAAATAAAGATGATGATTATAAACTCCGTGCAAGACAACGCAATTAATAAGGACGACTGTTCCAGTGCAACCCAATGACACACTGTCCTAACAAGCAGGCTCAGAAGCAAGATCAAAAGTCCTGAAGATGGAGATATAGATGTTTTCATCTTCAAATTACCGTGCTCTATGTTGGAGTTCAGAGTCTGTCTCTGTCTTTGTTCTTACACACTAAAGATAAGATCTAGACATAGCTTGCATTTCTCAAATTGTCTTTCATCTCTGTCTCCCTCACAGAGTCTTTCTGTCCACTTTCCAGCTGGAGAAACCTCTGTGATTAGTAGGCCTGGCATGGATATAATGGCTGTTAGAAACGCAGACTCAGACAGGCACGCATAGCAGATCAGACCTTTTAATGGATGCCTACTGACAGTCTGAACTCTCTGGTGTTTAGTAAAGCATGTCCTTCACTGTCACCAAGTTGACAAATGTGGAGAAACTCTTCTTTAAAGGTAGTGAAATGTCAGAAGGCATGTGTGAGCTTGCATGAGTGCATTGTTCAACGTGTGAATACACAATGTACATGTCAAGGGCTTCTACAAAACAGTCAAGGAACAAAACAAATAAACACAGTCTTATTTATGAGGGAATAAAGTTATTTTGGTAAGAGAGAAATGTCTGTTTTTGAGATAATTTGAGTATGCAAATGGAGCAGAATCTGCACCAGTAGATGGCAGCATGAACCATAGATCCGTACACTGCACTTTCAGGGCATGCATGATGGCCTAGCATTTGTGTAAATTATCCTCATGTGTCTCAGTGATACAGATGGCACTCAATCTGTGTCTCTTGTGTTATCCTGCACAAAGGAGGAGAAAGGAGAATAGCAAGAGAAGGGACTGCTTTTGTGACAACTGAAAGCCACAACTTGTGTTTTTTTCATCACATCCTTGGTCTCCAAGAGTAAAAGAACGTACGTTCTTTTTTCTCTAGTTAGGACGTGATGTTTATGAATAATGATAAATAGGTATTTAAACGGAAGTTAGTACACCATTCAACATGTAGCGATGTAGTTTCAACTTGAAATAAAATTGGCTATGACTTTCACCGGGGCAATCTCTTTCACTTACAGTATATGCATAGTGCTTAAAAGAAAAAGTTGATTACTTTAGATGTACTGAATGGCCACAAATAAAGAGACGGGGGGGATCTGATACTGTAGTTATTTCAAAGAGGTAATTTCCCTCAGTCCCCAGGAAGGATATGTGTGGCCTGGCCCTCTCCATTCAGCCTTAACTGAGACATCACATTAAAGAGGAGTGTCAGGACATATCCTCATATATGTTAGGCTTCTAATCCCTCCTCTAGCACAGAAACGAACAGAAAACAGAGCAGGGAGGCAATGATGAAAGTCTGAAAATGTAATTTCACTGTGCTTCCTCTGCCAAGCTTCCCTGCAGTTATTTAACATATATCCCCTCAGTCGAACAATCTTCCATCCACGCTTTGATGATAAAGGCAGCAACCTGCTAAGTGTACGCATTAAAATGTATCACTTAGATTAATACATCCCTTTGAACATGAGCCATTGTCGGAAAGGGAAAAGTACAAGAAATGGAAATGAAAGGGATTATTGAACACTCCATTTTCTGTGAGGACGCAGAGATTTACAGAGGCAGGGTGAGCTACAGAGAGAAGAAAATATTTAAGATATACAGTGGGTTAAATTCTTTGTCAGACTCAGTGCCTGAGCTGACGGCACAGCCAAGTGTCAGGCTGAAGTCGGAGCAACAAGGTAAAGGGCACTGTCAGCTCTGAGTTAGAGAGCAGCAACATGGCTGTGAACAGGCACTCGGCTAGCAGAGTTTATAAGAAAAGACAGAACGGAAATCAAAAAAGCAAATACTGTGGGTGTTATCTGTAAAAAAACAGAATAGCAGTAATGAAACATCGATGGAAATGAAAAAGCAATAGCAAACTTTTTTGTTTTGTTTTATGTTTTAAGTAAAAAAAAAAAATACCACTCATAAAACCTTGCTGTTTGCAAAAAAGTAATATCTTCTAATGATTTATCTGGGACTGTGATTGACTGCAAATTCCTTGTGCACAACCTGCCAATGAAGATTAGAGACACAGACAGACATGAGAATGAATGTAGAAATAATGTAAAAAATAAATGATAAAAAAACAATAACTCACATGAATTTCCAAAATCATTCTTGTCTTTTGCCTCAGAGGACTTCTGATAAAAGGAACCTTGAAGAGAGGAAGGAGTTGTGGATGGGAGGGAGAGAGTAGGGAAGGTAAGGATAGGAGGTGGAGGTGGGGTGTTGGGGAGTTGGTGTGGTGGTGATGGGGGGGGGGTGACGGGAGAGGGATGATGAAAATCAAATTTAAGCCAACAGAAAAACAAACTCAACAAATGAGACAGCAACAAACTCATGAGTAGGAGTGATGACACGGGGAAGCGATCTTTCTTGATTTGGCCCCTCCTCTCCAGATCTGTGTATGGAGTATAGAGATGGATGAGAGGAGTTGGGGGGGCATGGAGGTTCTGTGAGGAAGTGGCGTGATCCATCAACTTGGCTTAGTGCCTCAGCAGCAGCAGGACTGATGCTGGCAGGTGAGGGGAATGGAGGGGCTGATAAAGTGTGGGCTCCAACAGAGTCAATAGAATCAACAGCCTTGCATCTGTCACTGGAAGGTGGATGGAGAGGGTAGTGCATTTGATAAAACGAACGATTATGTTAGGAAAGCCGGAAATGAAAAAAAAGGGTTGAAGGACAGAGATTTGGAGAAAAATCGCCCACATAGATGTTTTTTTTGGCCCCAACTGGGCTTTCGCTTGTGCTTTGTTGTGGCCAGGTTATACGTGGAAGTGAAGTGGAATGCAGTGTAAAATGGCAGTCAGGGATAGTGCACTAGTACACATAATATTCAGTCTCCCTGGGACATCCATAAACAACTATACAAACAATGAAGTCCTTATTGGAGAGGGAGAGAGCCACAGGCAGACAAGTGGACCGACAGGAAAATCAATGGCTTGATAGATGGGGCTGGTGTGTACATGTAATCAGGCAACGGGGAGGCTGGGCTGGAGCAGGGGGAGGTGACTGTCAGGGTCAGTCTAACTGATGGCCCATTTGAACCCATCCTGTAGAGTTTCTATTCATCAGTCCGTCTAACAGTATAGCCAGTAGAGTAAAAGCACGCTTCAGTGGGTGGACTACCGAAGGAAACCTCAGAGCCCCAGACAGACAAAGATTATTCTTCCCTGACAACACAGAGCTGGAGAGGACAGGGAGACTCAAAGTACAGGAAATCATTGTCTGTGTTTCATCCATTACTTCCTTGAATGTGGCAGATTTCCAACCTCAGAGAGGGATACTGTTCTCTGGCAAAACTGACGTCATCATTAGAATAGCCAAAGGTTCATTTTTGCTTCTATTACTTTGCGGTGGAGATTCTATGTTAACTGAAGCTGATGACCGTATGCCAGAAGATCTTTGTTTACATTTAATCAAAACTTTTTGACCACTTATAAATATTGTGTAAATAATCTCATGTTCTGAGGTGAACCTTAGAGTCGTGATTTTCCAATCTCTGGTGTTTGATAGCAATAAAGCATCTGCCCTTGCTGGAGTATGTGCTCCCCTTTCTCTACATCAATATGTCAAGGAAATGTCATGTCTGAGAGCAGGGTTACCAAAGGCTTGAAAAACAACGTCAGAATCAAGGAAGACAGACCACAGACAGAGCGCAAAACAGAGATTTAGACAGGTTAGCCTCAGTCAACTGTGAAAACTATACTCTTGTGTGAGAGTTGGGATGTTCTATCTGAACAGGCAGAGTGCAACCTCTCTAGTTCAATCTGTAGATACTTAACATTGTTAAATCCAACCCCCAAACTCCCGGACAGTCTAAATGTAATAAACAAGCTACAAAGTAAATTATAACACAACTTTTTCCTTTTTGACTCAGGTCAGTTGTGTTTTTACAGTGTACAGCAATGGAAGCTGAGCATCACGAGTTCTATTTCCAGCTCTGGCCATATCATATTTCTGTGCCAGATTTTTTGCGATGGATTGCAATTGAAGTGATTTAAATAAATTCAAACAACAGAAAATAAGATCAAGCTGCAATGGAATCCAGAGACACGTGTTTGCTCAGATCCCAGCACTGCACTGGAGGGAGCAGATCAGCGGTCCGAGGTGAGTTCAGATTGCACACAACTTCCATTCCCAATCATATTTGCCATAATGTGAGCTTTTAGATAATGGGCCGTTCTCCTAAATGCTGGTGGAAATGGTCATTAGCATTGACATAAGTGGCTTCACCCTCTTAGCTTCCAAAAAAATCAATCCCTGAAATGATCCTAAATCTATATCATTATGGCTTTATATTCTCTGCAAACTGACCATCAATCTACCGAGAACTAATGCTTCTGAGATAGGTTGAGTCGCAGAGGGCATGCAGTGGGGCGGGAGAGTGTGGGGTGAGCGTATGTTGTGCCACAGAGGGAAATAAAATAAGATGAATAACACAAATAGGAGCTGATCTTCTTGTAGATTGCTGCCTGATGTTTCTATACACTGCAGACATATGACCTTGGCTATAAAATCAGCTAATGCATTCCTCTTACACTTAGATTAAATGAAGTCACTGAACGCTGAAGTCATAGTGTTCTGTCAGTGCATATGGACATACAGTACAGTATGTGTTTACTTTGGACATAGACATGCAGATCTGTCAGCCAGCTGCGTCTAAAGATGCATATTGACCGCCAATGTGATGTCAACCATAACCTACAGTACATCATGTCGACACCATACTGCAGGTAGCAGTTTACAACCCCATGGTGCAGCAAAATCTCAGATCATCTGCACATAGTGACGGCCAGCTGTACCAAATTCTAGACATCCAGCAGCCGGGCCTCTGTTATATTATTAGTGTCACAATCACCATCTGTAGTAGGTTATACACACGGTGGAGGCATCTGTGACAGTGTGTGGGTCTAACACCTTCAAAGATGTTTATTAGAGATGATGTTTATTAAACTAGACACTAACTCAGTTACTGTGCAGTATTTCCAGCCATCTCCCTCTCATCATCTTTTCTTATAGGTTATTATAGGTACCAAAAAGACTGTTTTAGTAGATGAAGTTCAAGGTATCAAATGCTTTATCCTGTATCTTCTTAATACTGCAGTAAACACACACACACACACACACACACACACACACACACACACACACACACACACACACACACACACACACACACACGCATCAGAGCAACTGCAGCATGATTCCAATCTGTGAATATATTATAAAGGAGAGGGAGCAAGATTTTTGGCTCAACTAAACTGTGTGGCTGTTTTGAACTTGCTGGAAGAAAAAGAAGCAGAAAACAATTCACTGCCTGCAGAAAAATATCTGGCTGCACCACAAACTGGCTTTGGCCTTTTTCTGTTTAGCAACAAAACAGTAAAGCCAACAGAAGAATTGTGATTTATGAGAAAGAAATGCTGGTGCATCCTGGAGGCTTTTGTGTACACTGAAATCATTGCAAGAGTCGAGTATTATCTACAATGCTTGCTCTCTCTCCAACACATGTAATTGCCAGCACTTTGTGGCCTTGTGTTTCCTCTCATTGCACCTAAGGAATCCAGAGTTTTTAAATTAAGGTAGCAATCAAAGCTGCCTGGTTGTTGCGACCCCCCTTATGTAATTACAATATAATCACTCATATTATTTTAAATATAACTCCCAAATGCTTAGCCTGTGACAAGGATAATTACTCAGAGTGCTTCCCCATGTGGCCAAGTCTTTTTTTGTCATATACTTATATTTGAGCTGACACAGGAAAAGATGTGCAGTGGTTTTCTGCTTTTATGTCAGTTTCCTCCAACAGCTTTTGTGTATTATGCATGTTCAAGTAAATAGATTGAGTGCAGAAGACAGAGCGAAAGGCGTTTTAGCATGTCTTGTTTATGTATGAGTCAAGTGAAACAGAGTGAGCGAGTGACAGGGTGAGAGTGTTTTGTGAGGATGTGAAACACAGCATGGTGATGAAAGAGCAGAGTGAAACTCATGGTCAAAGGGTGAAAAAATGTCTTTGGTTGGCAGGTCAGAGAGAGTAGCAGAGGATTAGTCGGGTACTCACTCTGCATGCACAGCCCATCGGTGCAGTTCTTGGACTGGAGCACCATGCCCTCACAGTCCTTTCCCCCGTTTTTGGGTGCCGGAGCGTTGCATTCTCTCCTCCTCCAGTGGGTGCACTCTGTCCCACAGGTGGACCACTTACTCCACTCTGTCCACAGGCCATCCACTACCACACAACAGACAGGACGGATGAGAGGAATGTCAGTGAAATGGTGAATGAGGAGATGAAGACAGACGACAAATGAGCGGGTGAGTGGATACATGATTTGAGACAGCGGGAGACATGTGGGAGAGAGACACACACGTAAGGGTGGAGGCACAAACATAGCGAAATATGCAAACACAGAGTAGTATCATATTTTATGTATTTTGCTTTTGCGCACCTACACCCTTTACACTCACTTTTACATTGTATTGTAATTTTATGCCATACCTGGGCAGAGAGGATTACACGCCAGCTTCTGGATACCTTGCCCTTCACAAATGGCGCCGCCGTTGAGAGGGGCGGGGTTGGTACAGCTGCGCGTGCGTTTCTGGTAACCACGACCACAGCGGCTGTTACACACTGACCACTCTGTCCATGTCGACCATCCACCGTTCACTGAAATACATGGTGATGAAATGTCATAAAATATCACTCATGTTTTCTTACAGTTTTGAAAATAATATATCTGAAAAATAAGTTTTGAAATAAAAAATACACAAAATGAGACAAAATAAAACACAATTTAACAAATGAAATCAGAAATACAAAAGCAGTAAAGGCACAGAGAGAAACATTTGGATTTGATCAGGTTTGTTGTTATTTGATCAGTGTGGCATCAGTACATCAAATGAAATCCCTTGAGTCATGCACATCTCGATAAAGTACCGTTATTTGCACATTGCAAAATGTATATACAGAGTTTTTGTGTTTTGACCCTGAAATCTCGGGTCGTTACTTTGCCTTGCAGCCAGACAGTAAATTCTGGTCAGATTGCTGCATTTTCCATTCACTGATTCCTCCTAATGCCTCTTTTCCCTCTCTCATCCATCTCTGTCAGCAACTAAATCCAGTGCAGAGTGACACCAGGGCTTGTGGCTGAGAACAAGTCTGTGGCATTTGAGATGGTGGAACTGGGCCCCTCGGAGCCTCCGACTTTCAAATGTGACATGCTTATGAGTGAAGCCCAAAATATTGGACTCTAGGGAAAGAGTCTGCCAAAGCCCCACATTTTTTTACTGTCTGCTTTCTTTCCTCCATGGATTATGGATCTATCTTCTCTCTTCCCCTTTCTTTCTCTTTTGTTGCCAGCCTGTGCTCCTGTTTCCAGTGTCCTTGTCGCGGGTTGGTCTGGAAACCACTGGGCTAAAAACACACTGCCTGTCCTTACTTTTTCATCACTAGGATCACACACAACTCTTGCTTATCCTTTTGGTTTCTCATAGCTTTTTAGAGTCTGTGCACTTATAGCACAACTGTGCAGAAATGTGCACATATCCCATTTTGTATAAAGAAGCAAGGGCAGCACAAACGCAGTGGCTTGTTGTACTTTCTCTCAAGGATGAGCTGACATCAAAGCAGTTTTTCCTAATAGACACGTTAGTGACAGGAAAGCCTTGCAGAGACAGCGAACCTTGTCCTGAAATCTGCTCTCTCAGCTTCACAATTTGTGTGTCTACATCACCCTTACATTGATCCTTACTAGCCACATTGTTCTTAGTGATCAATTAACTGTAACTAAAGTAGATAAACAAAACAACAAGGATGCTAACAATCCCAAACCTCCACTAGATTTGAAACTTGGTCAGCGGTATTATGGTCAAAGTATAATTTTCAAGCATTTGTTCACTTTTATCTTGTGCAGGTATCCATCCACATGCAATACATCTTCATTCAGTGTGAATAGGCATCGCCTCCAGCAGGCATTGAAGTTCAACTTTGCAGCCATGCTGTGCAATAACCGTCATGTTAGTTGATGTTAGGGAGACAGTGGGTGAGTCTGTGTGAAGCCACAGCAGGGGTCTCTTTAAGTATGGCTCAGCCACATCAGCACCTTCCTCGCAGTTCAGAAAATCCCAAATCTTCCATTTTTTGCACACCTTCCGGCAGGAACCAGATGAGTGAATGTTACACGCCGCAGGAGAGTGAGGGATTTGCTTTATTCAGACTGACTTTGAAATTTGTTTTATTTTGAGTTTTGCTGACTTCTAACAGATCTCTCTGTTACTCTTTTCCTCTGCACTAGTGTCTGACTTTACTGAGCTCTCATGTGGCCGTAAACGACTGTTTGCAGGTTATGGGATGTAAGACTAGTGTTGGATCTCATTGAATGCGCTGCTCTGTTATAAGATTACCATAGACGATAACTGTGGCAGTGGTGCTGCGTCTCTTGGCCACGATATTCTTAGCCACACAGGTGTAGTTGGCCGTGTCAGACAGACGGGCCTGTTTGATGATCAGGTTGTGGTCGATGGTGATGTAGAAGTTTCTGTCATCTGCAGGATCAATAACCTCCTCGTTCTTTAACCATTCCACCTGAGAAGAAGAATAGAAAGGGAGCACAACAAGAAAAAAAATGAGAAAAGACAGACAGCTCAGAGACAACAAAAAGCATTTCAAACAGATGCTGTGATAGAAATTATAAGACAGGTTGACCTCATTAAATTGTAGAGGAATCACAGCAAAGAGTTTAAACAGCTAAGTTTTTTTTCTTGTCTCTGTCTAACCTCTCAAATAGCAGTGAGCGCCAGGATTAGAGGCACAATTGTTTATGTCTCTGAGGTCCTGCTACAAAAAGTCACTATCTAATATCTATTGATATCTGCAGACAGCAGAGAAACGAAAACCCTCCACAATTCCTGAAGTTGAGAGGCTCTCTGACCTTTCCTTATGAGTTTCATTTCTCCAAATGATACTGATATTGAACTCCTGGCACTATCACAAAACAGGGGACTATTTAGAACCTTTATTTGGCTGTAAATCACTAAGATCCTTTTTCTCTTCAAGAGGTGTAAAGCTTTGAAAAAGAATAACATGCCTCACACTCTGCAGCCACTTTGATTCAAAATATTTCCTGGTTCTCTGGTTTTCTTCAAAGAAGCTGTCCAGTGATGAGGAGGCCTGGAAAATAACTAACTTCCTGTGTATTGTGATATCCCACGAGGAGCAGGGGCTGATAAGAGATAAGACACTAAGGAGCAGTACAGGCCAAGATAAGCGGGATGTTTATAAAGGCTCTTTCTCATGAGAGATAAAGTGAGGCAATAACCTGATATAAGGCCTGCCAAGACAAAACAGTGTGTGGGCTCACGTGTTTTCTTGAGAAACAACACAGAAACGGCATGTAGTGGTGCGGAGATGTACAACACATTGGCCATTGTTGGAAGACCAGCGTTGTTGGAACTTTCTCAAAAGAGAAGATGGGCTGATTATGACTTGCACTGGGTTACTCACAAGCTTCACCAGTATCTGTGTTATCTTGAGATGACAGATATCAAAGATGCCATCAGTGTCACACTTCACCTAGGCTGCCTGCTCTCTTATCCAGTGTAAACACATCAGAGACGCAGAGAAAAAAACATTTTCAATACTTCACTTCACAATTATTTCACACTTAACCTCTTCCCATAACCCTTCAATTCAATGCATACAACACTGGCATCGTGCAGCTCATAAGACACTTATCCCCACAACTTACAACTGAACAAACACTGGATGCAAACTTAATATCAGCAAAGCTTTACAGTAAACCGCTGTAAGAGTGATGTATATTCTACACCGATTCAGTTTTTATGAATGTTTTTCTTCATAAACATGTACTGGCTGAATCAATCTCATGGAGCCAGGAGGGATAGGATTCCCCTCACAAGCTGTCTACTAGTTGAAATGAAACCTCTCTCTCACATGAGCGTAATGCAATAAGTGCTGCATGACGTAAGTTGCGATGTCACTCACTCAGATACATCATCTTCACTCCTCAATATGATGCTACAGCATAAGCATCTCTTGCCCCACAAAAAGAAAAGCATGTTTTCATATTAGCCGTTGATGATTTAATTTAATTTAGAACTAGACGCGTAATGAAAGCAGCTTTATTATTACACAAGTCAATGGGAGTATGAAGACACTAGAACTGTGACTCTGATCTGTGTTAGCAGATGTGTTCGAATAACTGCCTTTATGCCATTAAGGCAGTGAATTAATTCATTGTAAGAAAACTGGACAAAACTGACATTGCCATTCTGCGAGAGTCAATTCTTACATTCTCACAGAATGACAATGTCAGTTTTTCTTATATGTGTAAACCTAAACCTACATAGGAAGTAAGATTAATGTTGCAAATAATGCTTCAATAGGAAGCATGTGCATATACGGTAGGTGTATGTAATTAGACATTTCAGTACTGTGCTATTGAACTGGCTTCTGTTTTAGTTTTATTGGAACTAATCTGTTGTGACATCTGCTGAGGTGGCAGTTAGACATCTGCCGTGACTTTCAGAATTGGAGCACCAGAAGAATTCAATAATAACTCACTAAACTGTAGCTTCTGGTTATAGCCAGGCTTTTTCTCCCTGACATTTAAGTGTTTAATAATATCTTATAAAGTTCCTCTTATTATATACACACACGCAAAAATAAAGTAAATTACTCTTGTGCATTATGCATGATGCACTATTACCACCTCATTATTATAGATTACCAGGAGGCTGTCTAGTGAATAGAACTATCCAGTGTATTTATTGGATAAAGGTTACATGGATTTGTGTGTGTATGTGTATGTGTATGTGTATGTGTTTGTGTTTGTGTTTGTGTTACAACATCACCATCAATCTTTAATACTGGATAAAACTAACAAATAAGACAGACATGACCAGAGAGAAGGACCCCTATGTTTGGAAAACAAATATGTGACAGTGATCTGATTACCATTTTGTGTGTCCTTTGTTCCCTATGTCATAATGAAAAGTGAGGGAACACAGGTCCCATAAAACAAATACAGATGATGTAAACAAGAGAAACGATGTTTTTTGTTGACATGATAAATATTTTGTCTTTCAGTGATCACATCAGTGTGTGCAGAGCACAGGGCATTAGGAAGCAAAAGGCCTGGCCTTCAGATAGAGATTGACATTGACGTACAAAGAGGTGGTTATCCAATTTTGCACCAATCACAGAGGCAGCCTCTCCAAACGTGTTGCATTCAGATGTCAAGAGCACTTTTATATGAGAAGGTAATTAAAAATTGAACAAAAGAGCTTTTCAGTGCAGATGGAGGGGTGGGAGGGAGACAGAGTGACGAGAGATAGAAAGTGGTAAGAACTCATGTCAGAAGTGGGAACGTGTGTGTGAGAGCAAAAGTGAGCAACAGTTCACCCATCATTTCTTTAGTGCGGACTGTAATTGGGACTCATTAATGAAACCAGAGATGAAAAGGTAAGCCAATCTCTGCACCACACTTGTGAAAAGATTTCAAATGATTAAAATTCAGCACAAGACTACATCTCATATAGCACTTGTCCAACTTTCTCTCATGCCAACAGACTCAAACATGCACATAGAGATACACACACATACACATGCAAACACACATACACGCAGCTCGTTAGTGTCTGATTGGCAGTGAAACATCCGGAGAGGTAATTGGCACATTTCTTGTCATTAACGAAGGGAAATTGCCACATGTCAGCTGTCATAAAGAGATGGAGTCTTCCTGTCTGGTTGGAGGCGGCCAAGTGACGAGAGAGAGAGAGAGAGAGAGAGAGAGAGAGAGAGAGAGAGAGACAGATGGAAACCTAAACCTAGAGAGGAAGTGAAGGAGACAGGCAAAAAGAAAGACAGGTAGGTGCAAAACGGAGAAGAGGAGACAGACGAGTGAGAAGGGGAGCAGGTGTATGTGCAGGAGGACAGTCACTAGTGTGCCAAAATATATGATACATCAACACTGACAGGCGAGGGATGGACGAGACACAATAAAGACAAGGGATGGAGGAAAGAAGGTTACAAAGAGGTGACTTTGTCTTGAAGAGGTGAATACTCTGGATGAGTGAAAAGGGAAAGCGGAAGACTAAAGCAAGAGGTAAACAGAGAAGAAAGAGATCCAACTGAGAAGAGACAGCTTTTTCATCTCTTGAGCTGTGGAAAATTCACAGAGCAGGATATATAGGATGGTATTGAAAAATAATAAAGACAGGTTTTGGAAAAGGGAGATGTCAAAAGGAGGAGCTATACAGCGTGGAAGAGGGAAATCAGTGATGTTCAAAGTGATGAATCAGTGCCATATACAGTATGTGTATGTGCCGTGTTACAGTATGCATACATGCAGTGCAGGCATATAAACAACATTGTACAAAGGGTCCTGATTCATTCAAGCCAGAAGCAGACTGTCAACATTGACTTTTGGGTGGTGCTGCCTTTTACATGGACTGAAACTGGGTCCCATCTTAGAGGCTCGAACCTCTGAAGTTTGCATTACCCGGCCAAATATGAAATAACAGCTTTCCTTTGCCCATTGAACACAATGCATTGTGTGCTAGTCAGTTTTGAATGGATTTTATGCATTGACAGCCTATTAAAAGTCGTATCAATCAACCACATAAATTAGACAATGAAAAACCCACAACAATATAGGAAGTCAGACTTTGTTCTGTTTGAAAAATAAAGTTATGTGGATATATTTACCATTAAAGGTCTCATAAAATACTATCATTACTTCCATCCATCCTTTCCAGCATGAGGTCACCACTGAAGATATACTCTATTTCAAGTGCCTCTTTTGTCTTATCTTTAAACCAACACTTTTTAGCCTTTTGGGCAAATAATTCCTTATGTACACATCCAGCTGATAAGGAAGAATATTAGCATTCTTTTAAATCTGTGTTTGTATCCACCTGGCACTCAAAGTCCAATATTCACTCTCCTTTTAGCTCTGTTTTGGTCAAATATCTTTATTCTTTCTTTAACTACGAAATGCTCCACAATGTTTCACAGCTAGTTGCTAACTTTTTCTGTCAGCTGTCTGTTGCTCGGTTGGTAGCATACCTGGTGTGTTTTTAAAAACTTTTTTGCTGGAAACAACTGCTTGCTGTGGCTGAAAACAATGCTAATGACACACTATTTGACAGTTGTCCATCACGTGTTAGCAGTATATGTCTAACATCACACCTTGAACTGTAGATATCAGGGCAACTGACCTATGATGTTTAGCCTTCAGGTCTTTTGAGGGACCCACCATATTGGTCTACGTCCTATCCAGGTCCTGAATTAGGATGCAATTTAAGTGTCTTTTTACTGTCACTTTTTCTCCCACTAGCAAACATAACTGGCTGCAGTCCTGGCTGCAGCAGCAACGTAGGAGTAACCACTGAGAGGGATGTTTCTGTGCTGTGCCAGGGTGTGCCAGCACAACACTAATTAGCCCAATATACAGAACACACTGTATACAATCCACTCACTTGTTAAGAACCAGTGCAAGGCAAAACCATTCATTACTCATTGCTGTTGTGTCAGAAATAGAACGTACAGCAGAGTATGGGGGT